CATGGTATCTATTTCAATCACTACATCGCATTAAAGGTTTCTATTGATTCATCTGTCCCCCTCACTGGCCATGAGCTCTTAAAGTCTGAGGACCATGTTACACTCAATTTGAGTCTGAAGCGGCTAGGGCTTGGCTGGGACATTGCTGCGTTCAGTGGTGCTGGTTGGCTGAGGTCAGCTGTCCTGTCTGTATCTTCTCAGAGCCACTGAGAAAGTAAATATCTTTCTTACTAAACCTGAATGGTGTTTGGGGGAGAAGATTTAGTTATTAATTCATTTCCTCAGTATTTGCTGAGCATCTGTCATGGTTCATACAGTCAAAGAAACTACGATCCATGTCTTCATAGAACTTTTACAGATTTACTTAAGGCTCACTCACCAGTGACTAAACCCCTCTATCTTTCACCATTGGGCATGCAGTGCATTAGTGAATTGTATTTCAGAGCAGTCCCCTGGGGCATGGATCATAAAACATGCATTTACATTATAGAATCATAGTTCAGTTCAGAATACTGAGTTCAGAGCCTCAACTATTGGACATCGATCTTACTAAGCACCCTACAGTTTCTAATATTGGTGTTCCGTGAGACCGGCTCCCTGGATTGGCTGCTGATGGGGTTTGTCATTTGAACATTTTCAGACTTCCAGCAGCGGACGGCACTCTGTTCGCATCACCGGCCTCAGCACTATTGATTTCCGAGCTGGTTTTTCCCGAAAGCCCACCCTGGACTTCAAGAAAACAGTCAGCAGACCAGTGCAAGGTTTGTATGTGCATATTGCTTTAAACTGACATAATAGAGATCCAAGTGAAAATGTTTCTCAGAATGTCTGTGATTTTATGATTCTCACCAGTCAATAAAATTGGGAAACAGAGCATCTTTAAACGTGATTGCACTCTTGGCCTAGTCACTGTTTTCCAGCGTGTAGTCAGTCCCAAGACCAGTGGTACTGAAATCTCTCAGGGAGATGCTCAAAAATGAAGATTCCTGTGCCCTGCCCCAGATCTCCTGTGTCAGACCCTCAGGAGGCAGGGCCTAGGCATATATACTTTCAGGAGTATCCCAGTTGATTGCTATACTTACTATACTTAGATCTTGAGTCTTTCTCTTACTAACATCTATAAATTGATTTGTTGTCAAGGTGCGAAGGTAAATTGTGTGTGTATATATGGCTAAAAAGTTAAAGATATTATATGTCATTATATGTTTAAAGGTAAAATTATTGCTGATTTTTAAGCTTGTTCTTCCTCTTAGTTTATTTATGCATGATTATTTAGAGTTTTAGAGCTATTAAAAAAGCTCAATACTACTGTGACTCTTTAAAAAATTTTTTTCTGGTTTTTCATTTATTTTTATTGCATTTATTGGAAGGATACAAATAGTGAACTTTAAAAATATGTGATCAAACATTACATAACAGTATTCACAATTATAAGTTTTCTACATGTAAACATAGTTAATAGACTACAGAATAATCACTTTGGATTTCCTAAGTACCTCTGGCCATGAATAAACTGTCTTAATGTGGAAAAGACTCTAGAACTTGGCCACACTTTATAGGACAGTCGCAGTACTCATACTTATGATACTTATTATCTGTTATTATTAAAATACAAACACTTACTTCGTATCACACCTCATTTGAATATTACTTGTAAATAATAATAACAAAATCTTTCTCTTCTAGGAATCCCTACCTATGTGCTTCTGAACACTTCCGGGATTTCCATCCCAGCTAGAGTAGATCGTCTTGAACTTCTCAGTATTTCAGGTGGTTCTCTGAAGACTATTCCTGTGAAATATTACCCAGAGCGGAAACCTTATGGCATCTGGAACATTTCTGACTTTATGCCACCAAGTGAAGCTTTCTTCCTCAAAGTAGCAGGTTATGATAAGGACGATTATCTCTTCCAGAGAGTATCAAGTGTTTCCTTCTCTAGTATCGTCCCAGGTGAGACATCATTTCATTCAGTACTGGAGTATTGATAGTTTAAGGAGGGGAGAGGGGGGAGGAAGTGATGTAGTCCTGTAGGTAAAGAATCATCCTATATAATAAAAGGCTAATATGCAAATTTCCCCTCAACCAGGAGTTCAACCGGGAGTTTGACCAGGGGGCAGGGCCCACAGGCCAACCGCCCATGGCCCCTCCCCCTGGATGGCTCCACCCAAATTGGCCCCCACACCCCAATCAGGGGTGGGGCCAGCCAGCCAACTGCCTGCGGCCCCTCCCCCCTGCTGGCCCAGCCCGATCAGCCCCAATTGGGGCGGGTCGGCTGGAATCCAACTGTGCACAAATTTGTGCACCAGGCCTCTAGTAGACTATAAAGTTAAAAATAATATCTTCACATTGTTACTGGGTTACTGATTTGATGAGCATTGACACATAGGTTATGTAGTCTTTAACTTTTCTTAACTATGAAATAGCACATCAGAGTTTCATGTTAAGACTCATTGATTATAGATCTGAACATTTTGATCATGTCAATCAATGTAAGAAGTCAAACTGGGAAATTCTGGTGCTCTTATTCTCTCTACAAAGCCTAGCATATGCCCTAACCAGTTTGGCTCAGTGGATAGAGCGTCAGCCTGCGGACTCAAGGGTCCCAGGTTCGACTGTGGTCAAGGGCATGTACCTTGGTTGCGGGCACATCCCCAGTAGGGAGTGTGCAGGAGGCAGCTGATCGATGTTTCTCTCTCAGCAATGTTTCTAACTCTCTATCCTTCTCCCTTCCTCTCTATAAAAATTTTTTTTAAAAAGCCTGGCATATGTGTTTAATGTTTGAATAATCTATCTAAATGGGCTAAATGGACTAAATGTTTATGTGCAATTGTCAGAAATACAGTAAACAATTGGTGATGACTCAGCCTTTAAGTGGTAGGTTGGTTTGTTAGTTAATTAGAAAACTAGCTACTTATATGTTTGCTATTACCTAGAGATGATATCATAGCTTAGAGATTATTTGGAGGCATCGAGTAGCTTTTTAATTTGTCTATATTTGAGCTACTTCTTAGCGCTGATCAACATTTTAGCATTGTAGACAAAGATGTAGGATTGTTTCTAATATTGTCCTATTGTATGAAGGAACAACATTTATCATTTATACATAAGGCTGTGATTTGGTGTATTAGGAACAGCTCTATAGATATTGTTTAAAGTTGTAAAAATGATGAGAATAGAACCAACATCATCAATGTTTCCTAATTTACAATATTCAAAGTTGGTTGTCTCAGCCCCTAAATTGAATACTTTAAAATCTATTGGATTTTTAAAAATGAATTTTTTCATTCTTTTTAGAAAAATAATCACCCTATAAATTCAATTATAAGATGTGAGTTCTTTTCAAATATTTAATTTTTTAAATAAAAATGTTTTCAAAATTGGGGATATAGTGTAACTAATTTGGTAGCTTTTTTTTTCTATCCTGGTAGTATCAAAAATAATGCCACATCTTAAAATCAATGGAGTCTTAGATTCAATGAATACTTTAGTAAGGGGTTTATGAAGACATTGAAATTAATAAGCTTTTAACAAAGATAATTAAAGTGATTTTTAGGGGATTTAGATTAATTGGGATACAGAAGATTTACAGGAAGAATTAAAGTATGAAGATTTTGAATGGCTTACCAGGAAGTACTCAATATCATTGTAACCTTCTCGCCCATGTTCTTTTTTTCCCTAGATGCTCCCAAAGTTACAATGCCAAAGAAGACCCCAGGATACTACCTACAGCCTGGCCGAATTCCCTGCTCTGTTGAAAGTCTTTTGCCCTTTACCTTGAGCTTTGTCAGAAATGGACTCAAACTCGGAGTAGACCAGTATTTAAAGTGGGTACATGTTTCTATTAATAATTGATAGCATTAAACATCTAAATAGAAATAATACTTATTTGTAGAAGATACTTATTTTAATGTGTTTTTTTTTTATTGGAAATTCTCATGTATTTGCTCTATGGTCTTGGAATATAGCAGTGATCAAGACAGACACAGCTCTGTGCCCTTGTGGAGCTTGTATGTGATGGAGGAAGACCGAAAAGAGATGCTAAATATAATATGTTAATATATAAATGCTAGAATACATTCAAGAGTTGACTTAGGTTCTAGAGAACCTGAGTTTTATACAATTTGAAGGTCCCTTGTTAAATCAAAAAATTAAAAGTTATGAATACAAAGTTAGGTACCGAACCTTGGAGGGGTCCTTGCTAATGAGAGGCCCTGTTATTGGCTTACGAGTAAGCAGGTCTCTGAATCTGATGGAAAGTTTTAGGATCAGTGAATGTGATCAGTGTTAAGGCACAATGTAGAACAGGTTAATTGGGATGAGTAAGGTTAGTAGGTCAGGTGCTTGTGGTTTTGGCCAAGCTAATCCTCACCCAAGGATTTTTTCTATTGAATTTTAGAGAGAGTGGAAGGGAGAGGAGAAACAGAGAGAGAGAAAGATCGATGTGAGAAAGACCCATCGATTGGTTGCCTCCCGCAGGTGCCCCCGACTAGGGCCAGAGATCGAGCCTGCAACTGAGGTACTTGCCCTTGACCGGAATCGAACTTAGGACCTTTCAGTCCACAGGCCGACGCTATATCCACTGAGCCAAACTGGCTAGGGCTACCAAGTTACGATTTAAAAATTCAGGATAAGGGACATTTGTGCAAAGACCTGAACATAGGTGCAGAGGTGTACACAGATGTCCGGGAAGAGTGTGTGCACACCAGGACCAGCAAGTGCGCATGCCCGAAGGCTGGAGTGAGCAGGGCATGTGTGGAAGAAAGACAGGAAGGAAGCCAGTGTGGCCGGAGCCCCGTGAGCCTGGGGGGAAAAGGCAGAAGATGAGGTCAAGGAACAGTGGTGTGTGCTGCGGGTAGAGTGACAGGTGGAGCACTAACCTGTGTGGCCACTGCATACAGGGGTAGGCAAAAGTAGTTTCACAGTTATGAGTACATGAAACAGAGTTTATTTTTGTATTATTATTTATTAATTATAAGAACCACTGGAAACCTACTTTTGCCCCACCCTGTAAAACAGGGGGAGTGGGCCAGAGGGCATCAACTGCCCTTGTGAAAATGGGTAACTTTTTTAGACAAATATCAGTAATCTAATAAAAATGAAGTAGGCCTTGAAAACTGGAGGGTGATTTCTGGAAAATGGTTTTTGTTTGTTGTTTTTTGTTTGTTTTGGTTTATTTTTTTAAACTTAGAATGAAACCAACCACATCTTGGAAAAAAACTCTAGGAATTATTTTATAAAACTCTCCTACTGTTAGTTCAATGTTAATATAAGTAACTTCCATAAGATGTTAAATACTTGAAATTCTTCGTTTATGCAGTCTCTTTATGAGGTGGTCGTTTTAAGTCAAAACTATGGCAGAAATGTTCCTTATAAATTTAGAAACTTTTCCATTACTTAAAGATTGAACTGCAGTATTGCCTGCCACTTTTTTCTCACATAGTATATCTTGATGATTTACTTAGTTACATATTTAATAACCATAAATCAAGCACAACTGACCAGGATAGCCAATGATGAAGCTACATAACTGACTGATGAAATCAAACCATTCTGCTTCATGTTGAAAGCGTAACATTTTTCAAAGACACGGGGTTCTTTCTAAACACTAATTCCATGCAGTTTCTGGGAGGTAAGCCACAAGAATTCTTTCTCTCATTTTTCCAGCTCTGTGATGCAGAGATGTGACAGGCCTTACTGACACATATTAAAGCTTTTTGGATGTGAGAGGCTAAAGACAGAATTAGGTGTGGGTGATGATGGATTGATACTCTAACCCCAATTCACTCGCGCATCTCCGGTTAGATTTCCTAATAACGTGAGACCGAGGGCTGAGTCTTGGTTATGTGAGTCACTGTGGTCACTGGGGGATGGAAGGTAATTAGTTTGCATTAACAGCAGAACACATTTTTATTTATGTTCTTTCCCCTGTTCCCAAAGGCCATTCCTTCAAAACTTTTTACTGTCGCCATGTTGTCTTAATGTCAACTGAGTAGGCTACGTGAAAGAAAAAGTGATTGTCATGTAATATTGCATAGATAAGAGAGGAACTAGAATAATTGTAGAGAATATTCTTCAAGCAATCTATATGCTGGTTATGTCTCTTGGAACAAATTACTTCTTTCTGGATCTCAACATCTCTTTTTTATAATGAGGAACTAGAAGAATTGTTGCTTTCTGTTCTAAATTTCCATATGTCATGTTTTTGATGAATCCTGATATATGTTTGCCTCTGAAGTGGACCCCTGCAGAGGATACAGAAGACTCATGTATTTTAAATTTCTGCCTTCCTGGAACCGACTAGTTTCTCTAGACCAGGGGTGGGGAACCTTTTTTCTGCCAAGGGCCATTTGGGTATTTATAACATTATTCGAGGGCCATACAAAATTATCAACTTAAAAATTAGCCTGCTAAAAATAAATTAGCCTGCTGTATTTGGTCAAACATGTAATTAACTCACCCCTAATGCCATGGCAGGGCCAGACTAATTTCAAGGATCTGATACGGCCCCCAGGCCAGACATTCCCCACCCCTGCTCTAGACAAAGGCATTTATAAAGTCGGGTGTGGTATGCTGCTGTTAAACATTCAAGATACAGCTTAGGTGATCAGTGCAGCATCGAATCAAGTCTGAGTCTGTTTTTCCTCTGAATGTGACAATAAGGACCACTGGCACCCGGCACATACACAACGGAAGGAAACGACATTAACTGAATTGTCTCAGTTACTAAGGTATATGGGCCAGTGGTATTTGGTTTCTGACTTTTCTGATGATGGGAACCTGTGCCTTAACTTTCTCTTGCCAACTGTAGGTTAGTGCTGACTATGCACTAGGCGCTCAGTTATCCCTTCACGGTTGTTTGATGGTGGGTGTGGTATCCTTGGGTGGCGGGAGACCTGGAGTTATTGCTGTGGGGCATTATTTCTGACTTCAGTGGAAGGTGTCCTGACTCTGCAATGAAGTGTTCATCTCAGCTGTATCTAGAATGATTAAAAAGGTTGTAAATAGTATGGATGGTTGGAAGAAAAAAATTATGAAAATATTTATGCATTTCGATCACATTTTTACAGTTATTTCAAAACAAAATAATGTTTGTTTTATGAATTATTATAATCTTTATATATAAAGATTTCAGAGAGGGAAGGGAGAGGGGGAGAAAGAAAGAAACATCAATGATGAGAATCAATGATTGGCTGCCTCCTGCACACCCCACACTGGAGAATAGAGCTTGCACCTCAGGCATGTGCCCTGGATTATTGTAATCTTTTAAATAGGGATTGAACTTCTATTATTCAGAGACTTCCAGAAGATCAGATATAATGATATATAATTTGAATAGTCTTAGAGAACAAAGTATAACTATTTACTAAATGAATGAATACACAATATAGCAAAGGGATTTTTTTATTTAAATGATAAGTTTAACTATAAAACATAATTATTTTTCTTTTTTTAAATGTATACATAGGTTGAATCAGATGTGGTATATAGCCTTATATAGAACTTCTATATAAGAAAGTTAAAGAGTATTTATCGTTTTGGAATCAAAAAGTCTGGCCCTGGTCAGTTTTGTTCAGTGGTTAGAGTGTTGGCCTGCAGACCCAAGAGTCGCAGGTTCAGTTCCTGGTCAAGGGCATATACCTTGGTTGCAGGTTCCCCAGCCCCGGTTGGGGCACATGCAGGAGGCAACCAATTCATGTGTCTCTCTCACGTCGGTGTTTCTCTCTCCCTTGCCTCCCTCCCTCCTACTCTCTCTCTAGAAATCAATGGAAAAATATTCTCGGGTGAAGATTTTTTTAAAAAAGTCTATTTTCTACCTTGAAACTGGTTGAATTGCTTTGTTGAAGAACCTCACTGAACGTGTCCAAAAACTGGAAATGATCACGAAGGAGAGAGGTTTAAGCAGTATTTCTCTAGCAGCTCTTTATCTTATACTTTGACACAGCCAGACAATATTTCTGTAAAGAATTTTATAATCTCCATAACTTATTGTCTTTGTTCAGAGTAGAGAAGCTGAATTTTCTAATTGAAGTATAAAAGCTGTTCAGTTTTAAGCTAGAAAGAACTCTGCAGCTTAATCAATTTATTTATTCATTTTTAATTTATTGATTTTAAGAGAGAGAGAGAGAGAGAGAGAGAGAGAGACATCAATTTGTTGATCCACTTAGTTATGCATTCATCACTTGATTCTTGTTGTGCCCTGACCAGAGATGGAACCTGCAACCTTGGTGTATTGGGACAACAGTCTAACCCTGAGGCACCTGGCTGGGGCTTATTTTCTTTATGGTGTTCTTCTGAGTGAAGGCTTCAGAACAAATAGGGGAACCACTGCTTTCAACGGGGTCATGTTTTCATAGTAACTAGAAATGTTTCTGTTTTCTTACCCCAGAGAATCTGCCAGTGTGAACTGGGATATTGAAAAGGTCACTTTGTCTGACGAAGGCTCCTATGAGTGCATCGCTGCCAGCAGTGCAGGGACCGGACGGGCACAGACGTTTTTTGATGTGTCAGGTGATTATCACTGATTGCTTTGGAGTTGGCTGGGCATTAATGCAGCTGTGGAAGTGGAGTGTTTGCTTATTCTGGCCTCACCACCTATGAGCTGTGTGACCTTCCTTGGGCCAATTACTTAAGGACTCAGTGTCTTGGCATCCCTATTATTAAATGCCAGTAACAGTAACAGTATCTCATGGTGAAAGTGTGAGGGTTCAATGCCATAGTATATATAATAACGTAGAGGAGAGTCTGGCACATAGAAATACGTAATAGACTTTAGCTATTGTTATTATTTTTCTATTGTTGTTATCATTATTGTTATTGTAGAGACTTAATAAATCATTTTTCTAATGGCCATATAGCATTTTTCTTTGAAAAAATAAAATTTGAGAAAAGAAGGGATCTGTTCTGATAATATTAAGGTTAACCTTTCTGTGTCCTCCCATATTCATAATGAGCACAGTGCTTTCATGAATAAGTCCTGACATAAAAAGTGATCACATTTAAGAAACACAGGACTTCAGGGCTACAATTCTGGTGTTAAGAAGGGCAGAAGACAGGCTCCTAATTTCACATGTAGATAATGTGTTTCCTATAATTAAATGGGAGGCAAGGCTCAAATTATTTTATCAGATAGATTATCTTTTAGTGAAAAACATTTATTTGCCTCTAATCTCCCAGAATTCTTAGGAAACAAAAAAACTGCCATGTCTAATCAGTGACCAGAATTTAAGCCACTTGGTCAGCACATATTTAGAATCGGTTGCATTGTTTCAACTGAATTATTTTCTGCCTGCCTTGTAGACTAGCGTTGCTGAGTGTTTAATAGTGAGTCCATCCTGACCTCCATGTGGCTGCTGAGTGTCTGGCAATGTCTGTACCTGTTTTCAGCATTGATGTGTACTTTCTTGAGACCATTTAGGACAAAGGAAGCTTTATAATTGCAGGACAGTTCAGAAGAGTAGGACTTATGTTTGTTATCAATAAGTCCCAGCTGAACTTTAAAACAGAGGCATGCAAGCATGTTCTTCTTGTAGTAAATTATTTGTATTCTCTTATTCTTAGAAAAATAAAGTTTGTCCTCTGGAACAATTTAGCAAGTTGACATGCATCATAAAGCATTCATGTTTTTTCATCTCCAGTAATTATGCAAAGTTCTGGAATTGTGTCAACATTCCGCAGCTTCTGGGAAAACAAACACTTGAGCACTTGAGTTGCTTTCCCAGCAACATGCATGAAGGGAAGGACAACAAGGGAAAGAGGTTGGAGTGAGTTGATCCAGACATCTCGCATAAATAACTGGGAAGTGCCAGTTAGAACTTATGAACTGACAGTGGAGAATTTGGCTCTCCGGTGTCAGCAACTTCTGTATGTGTGTTCCTCACAGGCCCTTCTAGTAGGACTCCGTGCCAGCCAAGCGTTGGTATCACTCGGAAATTGGACTGTGCCTAAGCCAATTTTCAGGAACAATGTCCCGCTTAGTCAGTTATGAAAGAAGGAGGCAGGCCCTAACTGGTTTGGCTCAGTGGATAGAGCATCAGCCTGCGGACTGAAGGGTCCCAGGTTCGATTCAGGTCAAGGGCATGTACCTTGGTTGTGGGCACATCTCCAGTAGGGGGTGTGCAAGAGGCAGCTGATTAATGTTTCTCTCTCATCAATAGTTCTAACTCTCTATCCCTCTCTCTTCCTCTCTGTAAAAAAAAAATCAATATAATACATATTTTTTTAAAAAATAAAAGAAAGAAAGAAAGAAAGAAAGAAAGAAAGAAAGAAGGAAGGAAGGAAGGAAGGAAGGAAGGAAAGAAAGAAAGAAAGAAAGAAAGAAAGAAAGAAAGAAAGAAAGAAAGAAAGAAAGAAAGAAAGAAAGAAGGCAGAAGCGTCGGTGGTAATGGCAGTGACTGTAACAGCAGAAGTGGCAAGCAAGTGCCCCTTTAGACTCAGAAGAGTGGGCATTTCTTTTGGGGCTAACTTTTGCTTAACCTGCCGGCCTCAAATCCACACCCACTTCTGAATCTTCCCTCTCATTGGCCGAGGTCCCCTGTGTAGCCACCCTACTGTGTGGTCTTCAGAAAGGTTTTGATAGAGTGTGAACCCACGCACACAAATAAACTCTTCCACGTCTTTGGTGGGTCTTGTATGTTAGATTCTTAGAATCATGCCATGTAGGTTAGAATCATAGAACCTTAGCACTAGGAGGAGTCTTTATGATTACCAAATTCCGTCATCTCATTTTTCAGAGAGGGAAACAAACACTCTGTGTAAATGGGCTTATCTGAGGTCACACAAGTAGTTAGGGTTAGATCTAGGCAGCTTATGTTTGCTGGGTTTAGCAAATAAAATCAAAAGATGCCCAGGTAAATTTGAATTTCATATAAGTGTGTCCCAGGTATTTCATGAGATCTAGTTATACTAAAATAATATTTAATATTTATTCGGAGTTCAAATTTAACAAAGCATCCTGTATTTTGTCTGTCAAACCAACCAGACTTCAGTCAGAGCCTCCTAACATTGCCATGTACTCTTTCTACTTGATTCACTGGCTGTTTTCAGAAGAGATTTTAAAAACATAGCAGAATGACAAAAATACGTTTATTTTTTCTTAACAATTTAAAATAGCTTATAGTCCTCTAAACATGTTTGGAAACAAGGATAAATAAAGGAAAATCTGGAGTATATACACATTTCTTTCACTCAGAGATAACCACTATGGTTTTGGCATATTGCTTCCAAGTTTCATTCTAGGCTTATGATATTCATCTACACTTACATACCATTTTAAATAAAGAAGGAAAGTTTGAATATCTGATACTCTTTTATAGTTAAACTAAAACAGACATGTGGGTTTCAAGCTAGCATAGCTCACCACAGATTTTATTGCTGTATCATTACTCAATGGTGGCTTGCTACAGCAGATCATTGAAAGCGTTTGGGCAGAATGAGCTTTAAAGGGGCATTTAAATTTATTCTCAAACCTAATCCAAGTATGAAGTGACTCTAAAAATGTTGGTTAAATAGTTAATTAGGAATTGGCTTTTGACCACATCTGAAATGTGCATGCATTCGTCAATGCCTTTGTGTACGTGGCTCTGTGTATACAATTTCATTAAAGGCCTATTCCTACTGTTAGCTTGACCTTCTTAAATAAAAATGTTCCCGTTCTTTCTGGGGGAACATTTGTCTTACTTTACTGTTGTAGTATTATATCTTCTTAATGAGATTATAACACTCCCCTCCTGCCTTAAAGCTGATACAGCCTTATCTTTGCCATATCTACCATATTTTATGCGCTATTTTCTTTAAAACAGTGACTACATATTTTAATTAAATTTATTGGGGTGAAATTGCTTAAGAAAATTATATAGGTTTCAAGAGTGCAATTCTATAATACATAAATATTGTTTTAAAAAATCTTAAATTCTACTTTTTTTCAAAACTCAAAGATTTGACTTTTTCCACAATCCTAAATCAGCCTAGTCATATCTTTTGCGATGCTTCTTTTTATAACTATAGATTTAGACTTGAATATACTTTGGTATGTAAATATGATCTAGTTTATAAAGCATCTTTCAACTAGATGATTACTTTCTTGGGGTGATGGACATATGCATTAATGAATAAATTCTGTTGTACTGCATCTTTTCTACTAGATATTCAAAACATACTAATTTTTTTTTGATCCTCACCCAAGGACATGCTTATTGATTTTAGAGAGAGTAAAGGAAGAGAGGGGGGTGAAATTAAGAGATTGAGAGAAACATCAATCTGTTTCCTACTGGTCATCAGTCCCAACTGCATTTAACAAAGAAAAATCAACCAAAAAAATGAGTTCGCATGTCACCTCTGACACGCGTGTCATAGGTTCGCCATCACTGTACTAGATATTCAAAACATACTAATTAATTTATTTTTGATCACCACCCAAGGACATGCTTATTGATTTTAGAGAGAGTGAAGGAAGAGAGGGGGGTGAAATTGAGAGATTGAGAGAAACATAAATCTGTTTCCTACTGGTGATCAATCCCAACTAGGGACCAAACCCACAACCTAGGTATGTGCCCTGACCAGAAATCAAAGCGGCAACCTTTCTGTGTATGGGACGATACTCCAACCAACTGAGCCACACCAGCCAGGGCTACTCATTAAATTTTTAAACCACCTCTCTAAGTGAGCAAATTGGCTTTTCAGTCTCTTGATTTGAATCTTTTCAATTTGCACAGAGCCCCCTCCAGTCATCCAAGTGCCTGCTAATGTTACAGTCGCTCCTGGAGAAAGAGCAGTTTTGACATGCCTTGTCATCAGCGCAGTGGATTACAATCTAACCTGGCAGAGGAACGACCGAGATGTCAGACTGGCAGACCCAGCAAGAATGCGGACCTTGGCTAACCTCTCACTGGAGCTCAGGACTGTGAAATTCACCGATGCTGGAGAGTATCGTTGTCTGGTTTCCAATGAAGGAGGATCATCAGCTGCTTCAGTTTTCCTCACAGTGCAAGGTACTGTGCTGATGGTAACTTCTGTGTTATAGTGTCTTTCTGTCTCCTCCTTTGGCCTCTGTCCCCTTAAGATGGCTATCTGAGAGCGACAGTATCTACCCAAGCAGTTACAGTTTGAATGATGGGATGCTTGTGGAGCTCGAGTGGTCGGTCTAAAGCTGACTAAAGTGGAAAATAAAACATCGCTAATTAATACATGACTTTAAAGCTAACACAACTAATCCTAGTAGTTGAAGACTTTTGTTTCAAGAGAATATAAATAGAAATTGTCTCTGGATGGTATAATGGTTTTAAATTCTCCAATCTATCATGTGGATTTTTACCATGTTCATGGATTGGTAGAATCAAAAACATTAAAATGTCCATACTACTCAAAGCAATTTATAGATTCAATGCAATCCCCATTAAAATACCAATGATATATTTCACAGACCTAGAACAAACTCTCCAAAAATAATCTAATTGTTTTAATAACTCATTCAAAATTTCCCCCAAATTTAATTATATTAGTGTCGTATCTAACTAATGTACTTGTATTGTTTTAATTAAGGTTTAAGTTGTTTCTCATCCTGGTTCAATTTTATTGAAACTTCAGCAGAGTTTTACTTTATTTATCTTACGCATACACACACACAAAGAATGCATATTGAAGATAAACTAATGGTAAGCCAAACTTGAATTATGTCTACATAGGTTGAATGTTCTGATAGCTGAAAACAAGTCTAGTATTAACAATGATTTAATGGCTACTAAAAATGTATATTACTCAGGACCAACAAATTAAGATCAGGGACATTCCAAAGTATCTTTTTCAGTAAAATCATACTTGGCTTCTAAATGGCTATAGACCAGTTGGCAGTCTTAATGTAATGAACAAATTACTATTGGCAGGGTTTCACGGTTAGGCTGACAGGTTCATTTCAAATCCTTGAGGTAGGAAACCACTTACTTCAGAATTGGGTCTGGCTATTTGGTTGTGATATTAAAAACAACTTTATATCATGTTTGAAGTAACACTCTCAGATGATTTAACAAGGTTATCTAACACACTGACCAGTGAATTTCAAGGCTAGATCTCAGAATATTATTAATGGCAGAAAAGCGAAACTACCTTGAGAATTAATAAACTGGTTGCCATCTGATTCTAGTTTTCTCACGGGTAGTTGAGTTATGTTCTGCAATCTGAATGTGTGCCTTTTGTTAGTTGATCCTGTGGAACCTCTAGGGAAACATTGCTTTATAAATGGTTCAGTACATTTCCACATGATAAACAGCCTAGATAATTTGAGTCACTCCAAGTAGAAACTTGAGTTACCAGAATTGTGGAACTATTTTTACTAAACTGATTGTTTCGGATAGAATGTCTAATGGCCTTCGGAAATCTGATCTTGGTTCTTTA